ACTTCGCTGGGCCGGACCACTTCATCCACCCGAATACGTGTGTGTGTAATCACTTGAACGTTTGACACGGTGATCAATTTCACACGGAAACACGTTCGGAACCAGATCTGAAGAGGTATGACTGGAGCTTCTCAACTCCTGTTGTTCCTATTGTTAGTCCTACTTGGTTATTGTAAGTAGTATGGTTATGAATAACTGAAGCCGAGCTTGTTCGGCATGCTGTGTTGTTCCTGTGGAGAGAGAGAGTAGTTGGCTTCTTTTAGACATCGGTAATACATTTTATTCAGTCTTGATAACGGTTGCAGGGTACAATGCCGACGTATTCTGAGGATGTGCAATTGTTCAACTTGGCCACAAAAATGTCAGGAAGATTTTAAATGGTAGCCCTCACTTTTTATGACATCATCTGTTGGTGACTTGCAATTGAACGTTGTGTGTTTACACATATATAGAGGAGTCTGTTAACTCCGTTTCTGTGTTATCTAGGTATACTCATAAACAGCGCATGGACAAGGTCTACGGTAGCCAAAATCTAACATGCCGTGCTATTCTTGACCGTGGAACTCAATCACTTCAGTCCTGTCCGGTATCCGGGTCAGGTAATGGCGAATTGGCCTAATTAACCGTTAGAAAATGGGTGACGCGGCTGAATGGTTTCCGTATTCTGGTTTTTCTTAGCATCACACTCAGCTTATTGGTTTGGTTTGGTTGACCACATTAGTGGTACCCTAAAAATAACAAAAAACAAAACGAAAGCAACCACGTAAGGGTCGATAGTTGTACAACAACAACAGTCAGCAGTTCAGCATAGCATCAAGAACTACTAAGATAGTCGACCAGAAGTATTAGATCTTTCAGTCAGTATAGACGGGGAACCTAATCCGTAGAATATGTTGACTGATTTATTGTTGTAGATCCTATTGCACCACAATAGCCGGTTAAGTGGTGAATCCCGTGTGAGCTGTTCACCGGGCCACCTTCAGCGGATCACATCGACCAATCAGCTACTTTCTACTTAATTTTTACTGAGCGTACATTAAAGTGATTGACCAATAACTATGCATCCCCATTGCCTAACAAACTCTAATCCAATTTTGGTAACAACACAACAGAACTGCATGAACACATCGTGAAATACAAGCTTAAAAAAGATTTTCAAGTACTCCAATCTTCATTTAGTGGAAGAAAACAGATTTGACCTTGAAATGATGTATTGCTATTTATTATGTTTCCTTGGTTTAGGTCATACAAATTCGCATAAATCAGGATCCACGTATTGATTGTGTGGTTTGGAATTCATTCCTTGTGAGTTGTTGAATACCCCCACTCGCTTTACGTACCGTTTTGATGTTACACAAAACCATTCGGTTGGCTCTCTTGGTCATTCAATCAGCACGAAAGTAATCTACCTGATCGTAATCAGTGTTCTTGATCGGTATTGAAATGTTTTGTCGGAAGCGCCTCTCGCATTGGGCTACAAGGCATCAGCAAACATCACCGTAATCAATAATGTGAGCGCGCGCACGAGAGAGAGACTATCAGTTAACACAAATATGCACCGTGATCCCCGGGGATGCATCCTTGCACTGTCCTCGCTAGATGCTCACATCTTCACTAATTACGATCGTGAGGCGTTCAGTCCACTTAATCGCAGTCAACAAAACAACCCTGTTTATTCGGGTAACACTTAGATTCGCCCCATCGATCGTGTCCCTTTTTCGGTTCCGATCACGTGGCTGGGTTATTTCACTTTTATGCTAATTACCAGTATCTGTGCACATATCACAAGTATCATCTCACAGCAAATCAATGTCGGACCAATCGCTGCTCTCTCTCGTGTTACAAAAACCAATGGTATAATTCCAGATTCATCGAGCAAGAACTGACCGTGTACATACAGCCCGCCGATGAAGCGCACGAGAGAGAAAAACAACCCAGCTGTGTGCCATCCAGGATGTGAAAAATCGATGGATCAGATTAATTATCCGGGTTAAGGTTGGTGCGAAACGGCTTCCCTGCCAGTCTCTTGGTCTATATAGAGTGCCTGATGTTTGTTGATCGATTGCTCCAAATGCTGGTGTGTGAGAGAGCTTTGGCAGTGTAAGCCCGAGGTACTCACTCATCTTCCAGATGAGATTTGTTGCCGTGCTAATTGGTCAAGAGCCACCTGGGTGTCAGTTTCGCACTCCGTTCTTTTATTTAGACTCAACTTTTAAACGAATCCAATCAAAACCATGCGTCTGCGATTTGATGTTTAGAAATTCTAGTCACTTGTGACAAGTAGAAAGAGAACTATTCACCTGTAAAAGGGTATTAGGTTCAATACTTTTAAGGGTAAATACACACAAAGGATTGTTTTGATTGTACTATAGGGTATTTTGCACGAAAATAGATCGATTTATGGTTCATAGAAAAACAAGGAATATCATGGATTTTCTTCGTTTCGTACATTGCTGCGGGTGTCGAAATTGAAGACCTTTCCAAATGTTATTCAGTTTATGCTTGAATCAATTGGGGCAGCAGAAACAACGTGAGGTGGGACAGAATTTCAAATACTGCACACTCCGAGGGCGAATGAATGCTGTGGACATTTTAACCAACAGTTTTCGAGCACTCATTTTAATGAGCGCCTCTGAGATGAGTGCTGGGCGACCAGTGAACGACGTGGGGGGTAGGGCAGAATTGTGTTACTTGATACACCAAAATCCAGTCCCTTGAATTCAGCAACAGTGTGTGGAGTACAAACCCCTACCATTCCAGTCTTTCCATACAAGTCTTGGAATGCAGTCCATTGACCACTGTTTGTGCGCTTTCCAGAATCATAGGATCATGTTGCAGCCATGGATTCCACGCTTGAATGGCGTACTCAATGTGAGGTCGAACGTAGGCTGATAAAAAAAGTGGGAACAGTATAAATTCGAATTTGCCAAATATTGGCTGTAGCAAAACATGTTTCGCAGCGGCGGACGAAGACTTGGAGCTGTTTAAAGAACAAATTAGGTCGTCTTGAAAAATGACACTGGGATTTTTCTCATTCGAGGCATACGGAAGTTGCTGATATCCCAGAAAGTACATGAGCAGATGTTTGTGGGGTAGGGATACATACGACCGTACATTTTGATGCATTGATGCATTCGACGTTATTTTCGATCGACCATTGACTAGCAGCACTAAGTGTTCTCTGAGGTGCCAGTGAGTCCTCAGGTTATGTCACTGCTTTCCACCTTTTAGCATCGTCTGCAAACATTAACGGCTGTGACCACAGAATGTCCGTAAGATCATTAATGAAAATTAGAAACAGTTTGAGCTAACAACAGATCCCTGAGGAACTCCTCGGGTCACGCTGAAAGTATCAGTCAGTGACCCAGAAATTCAAACTGTCACGATGGGTTGTCGAAGAAATTCTTCTATTCAATCCAATACAAGTCCACGAATTTCGTTGTTGTTATTTCCTCAGTAGTATTTTGTGGTTCACTGCGGCACTCCATTCCAGATTCCATCACGGAAGCTGTGCCGGTGCGCCGGTTTACTTCGGCCCTCACCGTGATCATTCTCCTGTTCATAAAAGTCACAATTCGAAAAACCACCGCAACAGAGACGATTTTTGTAAATTACCCTGAAAAAGTAGTTGAAGCTTAGACCGATAGTTGTACATCCGCGGCATGGGATGCCAATCGGGCCCCGTGCGATACAAAAAGGCTGGATTGTAGAGATTGACGACTGGTTTACACTCAGGAAGAGGACGTAGAGCGGACGCAGACCGTTCAACCTCCCTTGCAGTTAAGTCCGCAGCAAAACGCAATGTCCCCTCACATCCTTCCCCCTTTCATAGTATTGGTTTCTGTCATCCGAGCAAGTAGTGCATGAAAATAGTGAAGGGAATACACAAAATTCCGAATCAGATCGCAGACCCGCTTGCACCATGTCACCCAGCTACGACCGACACTGTCACGTGAACAATGCAGAATGGAATACAAACACATTGACTGTGGTTTTGCTGTTTGATACATTCGATCTGCGCATATTCGAACAAACACAGGACCGAATTTGATTGCCCCAACGAGATCCTCAGTAGACTTGCGAAAATGGAGATGGAACATTTGGTGTTTCCTCGCTGGTAAGCACCCAGAAACACAAGCACAGCAACCCCATTAGGTGTCTAACCACATGAAACGTGGAGAACGCGTAACTTCGATATGATGGGGACCGGGGTAGCAGGCAGTGGTTCAGAGGGAGAAAGAGGATGCGGTGCCCTGGTGCCCTCTGGTTCTCCCAGCGCCAACCCGATAACGGACGATGAGCAAATAAATCAGTTTCATGTGAGTAATGGAGGATTTGGTTAAATTTCAAATGGCAGTTCGTCGTGTAAATCGCAATTGAAGCGTGAACTGAAAAGCTAGGACACTGCGTTGAGCAGGGTCCGCGGCCCGCAACAAGCTTGCAAAGATGGGTTGTGTTATATCTTGTTGATGGAAAATGAAAAACGGTCTGACCAGCTGCCCCGGGGTGGCCGAGTGGGTAGCATGCTGGTGTCCTGCCCATGAGGCCCCGAGTTCGATCCCCAGTTGGGTCGATGGATTCGCANACCAAGTGGAAACAGCTGTCCAGTGCTTCCGAGCTTTTCAGTTCACGCTTCATTTACTATATACACGACGGATTCCCATTTGAAATAATTCAGTCTCAATAGGTAAGTGATATGGAAAGCAAAGTACGGTTGAGCGAATAACAAAATATATTATGAGATTAGCTGTCTATTCATCTTGATTGTGATACTCGTCCAGTGCGCACAGGCACGGACGCGGGTGTTTGCGAGTGAGTGAGTGCGTGCATGCATGCATGGATGGATGACCGACAGAGGAGAGAGGGACAGCTGACGCGGTAAGCATACGTGATGAACCGGACCAATCGGATAGAGATAAGAGACAGGAGAGGATCGAAGCGATCAATCGGGTTGGCAAGGTCGATAGACTTCCACTGAGGAGGTGGGGGGGGAGGGGCGCTCATGGGGATCCCGGCCAATTGTGATTGGATCGATTGACCAATTTGGGCAGGGAATAAACGTCCACACGACGCTGACGGCCAATTGGAATGGATTCACGGACTCGTTTCAACTCATTGAAATCGATTGTACCCATGATAATCTCCTCCTGGAAGAGCGAAAGACAAACAGAGAGTGGTATCGATCATAGTAGACAAAAATAGAGTGTTGTAGTAAAGCATCACTGAGTTCCTCGAACTATTTCGCAAGATTTTAACAATTGCGTTCTATGGGAATGTGAAATTACTGATTAGACCGGGGTGCCAGAGACAAGAACTTCACAAAATGAATCCGACCGCCCAGCGTAGGCGATCAGAAATTTTCGGTGAATTCATCATCTCATCAATCGGACACAAAATTAGACAGGGTCAAATTAGGAGAGAGGGGGTCACTGTTGAACGTGACACCGCTTCCCGATTGTCGTTCGACCAACATGAGTGGTACTACATGTGCACTTGAACTGGTGGACAAT